TTAATACCAATGATAACAACAAATATTACAATAATAATAAAATAATAATAATAATAATAATTATTATTATTATTATAGTAATAATAAAAAGAGTGGTAACAGATGTAATTTTAGTACTGTATCTGTGTTTAACAAATATTCGACCTATACAATAACAATAATAATACATATAATCATAGTTACCAACCGTCGCGCATCGTGCGGGACGGTCCCGCATTTCAAAGTGATTTTGGATGAAACATGCATTTTGCAGAAAAACATGCGTGATCCTAAATTTGTCACGCATTTAACAAAAGTCCATGCGTGATAACGATTTATCACAAATTCAGGGGAAATGCATTTAAAATTTGAAAAAATTGGTTGGATTAAAACTATAAAAAGTGATGCAGTAACTGGAGTCATTAGAGAGTACAGTATTTCCTTGAAAGCCTACTTATTTCACTAACGAGTTACTAAAAATTGATCAGTAATGAAATATTTGTGTAGGTCTACAAAGTTCGGGTGCTCAAGTTAAACATAGGCCTACATTTAAACACAAATTGGTTTTATTAATAATATTTTGCTTATGTACCTGTATTATCAACAGACACTGGATTGACGCTTTCCAATATTTTATTACTGCTCACTGTCATAAAAAAACACAATCGCATTTAAACTTTGTTTTGTTTCTTTATTTTCAAAGAAAACCCGGTCAACAGCCATGATCGAAAAACAACAACAAACTTGCGCTCTCGCATAAAAAACTATTATAGCGCCCTCAACATTTCAACTATCGTTTTAATTAAATAATAATTTTTCTTCTATTCAATACCTGAATCTACAATGAACAAATACCTTCTAGAATCTCATATTAACCAACAAAAGCCCGGGCACCGATTGTAACTCAGTAGAATTTTATCGTCTCTTCTGGGAACAGATCAGTAATATCCTATGTGATTTTTTAAAATTTTAGCTTTAATAACAATAAATTAAAGATTTCGCAACGTAGAGGTTTCATCACACTACTTTATAAAATAGGTGAACGTGAAAAATTGAAAACTGGGGGCCAATTACGTTGCTTAATGTGAATTATTAGATTGCTGCACACGTGCTGGCCACAAGAATGAAATCGGTAATTTGCACAATCATTAACAATGACCAAAGAGGTTATATAAGTGGTAGATTTGCTGGTAAAAGCATCCGACTTATAGAAGATCCTCTTGAATACACAGAAAAAAATAAAGAAAATGGAGCTTTAATATTTTTTTTATTTTGCGAAAGCGTTCGACTCTGTTGACAGGAAATTTATGTTAAAAAATCTTTTAAAAAATTTGGTTTTGGTGAGAATTTTACACATTGGGTCGAAGTCTTGTATAAAGATACTGAAAGCAGTATTATTAACAATGGGTGGATGTCTGAACTTTTTTTTAATGAATTCTGGGATACGCCAGGGTTGTCCACTTTCAGCTCTGCTTTTTCTGTTAGTTGTGAGCTCATGGCTACTAATACCATGGAGGAAATAATAATTATTTCCTCCATGCTAATACATGGAATAATCTGCTTTGCGAAGGTATTGCACTCCCACAGCCTTCCCAAACAGAACCAGAAAATACAGTCAAAATTGGGCAATTAGAGGACGATACCATACTTTTTGTAAAGGATGAACATACCATAAATAACTTTTTAAAAGAGATTGACTTGTTTTGTTCTGTTTCTGGTCTGAAATTAAATAAAGCCAACACCAATGGTATGTAGATTGGCTAAAACAAATCCAATACAGAAAATCATGTGGAATGAAATTTGTACAGGAACCCGTAAAGTTCCTAGGTATCTATGTTAGTTATGATAAGGAATTATGTAAGGTCAAAAAACTGGAATGACAAGGTTTCAAAACTAGAACAAGCTCTGAAGTCGTGGGAAAGAAGAAACCTATCTCTTTTTTTGGTAAAAGAACCATAAGACACTTGCATTATCAAAAATCTTCTATAATGTAAATATTATTAAAATACCAAACAACATTATTAAAGACATAAAAAAAATAATTTATAAGTTGTTATGGAAAGGGAAAAAATAAAAAAATAAATGGTGGTTTAAAAATGATCGACATTAAAGGGTGGGGGGTGTGGGGATGAAACGATTAATTTTTAATTTATAATAGAGGGATGGGCGATTACAATGACGGCACTCGATTTTGGAGCGCGGTATTCGAAAACGAGGCTCGTGAACTGGGTCCCAAAAAAACTGGTGCTACAGGATTTTGAGCTTGTGTTAAAAGATAGGGAATTTCCTAAAATATACCGACTTTCAAAGGCTTGCATTAGGTAACCCCATAAAAAATCGTGTCAAACTTTAGATATTCCAATGTAAATTTGGCCGTTCTTTTCATTTATATGGGTTTTCACTTATGAAAATGTCTCAATTTTGTGTAAAATAACAGTTTGCCCCAGTTTTTATTTCCGAAATTTGCGCTAGACAGGGAGTCAGCTGATTCACTCAACCGTAACGAGCTGGTAACGACACAACAAAGATCTAGAAATACAAGATAGAGCACTCGCATTGTAAAAATGAGGCGGAAATCGTGCCCAACGTAGGCGGCGCCCTTCTTTTTAACCATGCAAGTTTCCTATACTTTGTGCCCAACGTACAGGGCGCCCTTCGGTTGCTAAGTACAGAGCCATAGATAGAAAGAGTTGCGACATTGAGAATTTAGAAGCCATTTTGTGTCATACGCGATGCGCGTTCTGTATCTAACGTGATGTGCAGCGCTCCTGTGTATAATATTGTATAATACAGTTAGCGGCCTCCTGTATAGTTTAATTCCATTTAATCTTTTTAGCAGTCGCATTTTATGTAACTATTTTTATAGATTTTTTAAAATGATTTCACTACTTTATATCCAATTTCATATTAAAAATACTGTAATAATTTTCTATTTTTGAGCAGTTCTTTAATCCTCGCCGATAGACCGAGAGAGCCATTCGATGGCAAGCATTCTTCTATTAGGCAATCCTGCTATACAGACCCTTAAGTAGCTCCTGTTATTTTTGCAAATAAATGATATGTAAGACCAGCAAAAATTACTTAAATATGTATATCAAAATGCAAATAAAATCCGTATATAGGGTATATAGATTGTTGCTCTTTAAATTAGAATATGAGCGAGCCCTATACAAATCTTATGTTATTAATTTGATTATTATTATTTATAAATATTAAAATAGTATAGGTCAGTTGGCCGCAATATATAAATTGTGCTTTGCTGTAAATGTTATAAATTGTAAGTGTTAAATGATATACAGGATCTGTGATATATTCAACTTGTGTAATTATGTAACGTACATTTTATTGTATTAAAAATCTCGCCTCTATTTTAATATTGTATTATGGCTGCTGTACAGTATGTTACTTTTATAAACACACTGCAAGAGCGTGTCTGCTGTTTTAAAAGCGTCGTTTCCAAAATAAAGTTATAATAATTATATAATAGTATGCAATTAAAAACATAGTATGCTATTAAAAACAGTTTAAATCAAAGAAAAAATTACCATTAAATAAAATAGGTCGGGTCTTCATTGATTAAAATGTGACGAATTAACGATAATTGAAAACAATTCTAATTTTAATTTCAATCATTTACGCGAGCACGGAATTTACGCGAGCACGCACGCGTGAAAATATTCGATTATATATGAATTCTTATACGCTGTCCATGCTAAGTGATGTTAATTATAAAATATAGTTGTAAACCCAATTAAGTGTGTGAAATTAATATGCAATGTATGTAACACATATACTTTGCATGTGTTCATCGGGAAGATTATGAAACAAAATGGACGGTGTGTACCACGTGACTTTCGTAAACCAAGGAGCG